CTCAGTCACTGAATGAGGAGGGGGTATACTAAAAAAGCAAGGAATATAAAGCCCTAAAACTAAAATAACAATCTCATAACATTAAAACACTTTAAAGAGAGAATGTAGCAATACTCTAGTTAATAAAATGGGAAGAAGGACCACTGTTCCTAATGGTTAGCTTTCTCATCCAAAATTTATAGCTACAAATGTCAAACTCAGTCTTCTCTCTCAACTCTTTCATGGAGAGTCAGTGTTATGTAGTAGTGAAGATGTTGGACTAGGAGCAGGAGGCCCAGGGGCTAGTCTGCCCTCAGCCATGGAAAGTGATATCAGGTGGTCATTCTCCCTAAGCCCAATCAATCTCACAGGGTTGTTGTTATGGGGAGAAAACATTATGTATGTTGCCTGGAGGTCCTGCCTATAACTGTAATGATATGTGGGAATGACCTTGGGAGACAGGCGGAAGATCTGCAGACCAGACAATGGTCAAACAAGCAGTAGCTGAGTCCGCAGAAGGAATGGGGGTGGTGGTAAACATCTCAGAAGGGACCCTCCCTAGTTTCTTGGACTGTAAAGGCAAAGGGAGAGAGATGTATTTTCAGACTTGCAAGATTCTGTTAATGGAACGTTACGATAAAGTTAGAGCTGGTACTTCTGGGTGTGCTTCTTGTCTGGACTACCGCCTAAGGCTGACAGTAACTCTTTAAAGCAGCTGCCACGCAATCCTGGGAAAAGGCATGGCTATATTAAAGATGGTAGACAAGAGTTTAGTTTGTGCCACTGTCTGTCTACTCCAAGACATCTTTTTGGAATCAAACCCTAGCGGTGCTTCAGAGCCCTATTGCTGACTCATACCCACTTTGTAACCAATTCTGTAATTCCACAATCATTGTCAGGCAATCTGTTTCCCAAGTGAATTTTTTTACATTTGTCTCTGTTAAACTTCATACTGCTATTTTCAGCCCATTTCTCTAACCAGAAGCATTCACAGGATATGACTTATACAGTATGGCAAATCTAACCTATCACCACCATCCTTATCCTTGTTACAACTGTGGAATCAATTCTGACAAATATCATAGTAAATACATATTAGACCAACCATGTGCAAGGATTCTATCATTTAATTGTGGATGAAAAAAAATATAGCCAGTTCTCCACTATCATCTCTTTCATTGCTTTGCATTGGTTTTTACTACTGCCAGTAATCTCATTTAAATAAAATTCTTACATGTTTTCTTTCCTCTCCATGCTGCTAACATATTAATTAGAGTTTTGCACCTGGTGCCTTGCATGGGCCTATGAGAATATCACTGTTGATTGATTCTTCTCTCTCCTTTCTCCGCACTTCATCTGCTTTTTAAAAAATATATTTTGATTTATAACAGAAAAAAATATATATAGGACATAGAATTATTAAGGGATTCTGTCTCCCCTTTCCCCATGCAGTTCAGCCTTCTGTTTTATTGGTAGAGAAAATTGCTAATGACTAATTTTCTAACCAAACATTCAAATATTATTATTTCTGTTGATCAGCCTTCTTACTTATCACAGGTCCAAAAAAACAAACAAACCACACACAGATCTAATGTGAATATGTGCAGCATATTTATACTCACATTTGCAGCTTTGCACTTGATTTTGGCCACAACAGCTCACAGACGTGAGTTGTAGAAGCTGTTCTTTAAAAAGCAGCCTAGGGATTCAGTGTTCAGAGATACTATAGGGAAAAGCAATCCCAAACATGCATGTAATAATATAGTACAGTATGAACTCAGTACCAGACAGAGTTACAGCGTTATCCTGTTTTCAAATTACAGTCACTCAGTTCAGGGTAAGTTTGCTATTAGATTCTTTTTGCTGGCAAAACAAAAAACACACCAAAATGGTATATTTACATGGCTGAACGTTACTTTTTTTGTGGCATTATACAATAGTGATATAATTGTTAGGGTTGTTGTGTATGGCTGGTGTGGGTCTTCCGGGCTGTGTGGCCGTGGTCTTGAAGTCTTGTTTCCTAACGTTTCGCCA